AGGACAGGGGACCTTGAGGACTGGAGTTTGACACCCCTGTCATTGTGAATGACAACCTGTGAACAACAGGTTAAAGGCTGCCCGCTCCAAGTCCTACACAAAACAAAAGTATATAACAAAAATTAACTTAATAGATCTATGAATAAACTGAATGTATTTAGATGGAAAAATAAAACGCACACACCTCTCCTGCAGGACAACATGACAAAAGGGGAGGGGCTAAGGGGCGCAAACAATTTAAAGACAATACCACAGAAGAAGAAATAAAAGGGAGGGGCTTCAATCTTAAAGTAACACGGTTAAAACAATGACAGAGGTGTTTCAGTAAGATAAGGAACAAGACAAATAATCAAAAAAAGACATTTTGTGTAATTATAACAAAAGAGAATTACAACCAGGTTACACATGGTCCTTCAGTTTGAGGGAACTGGTCCTGGAAAGTCCTTGAGAGGACTTTGGATATGTTAGGCCTGTCACAATAACAAATTTTCCTGGAAGATAAATTGTCCCAGAACTTATCGTGATAAACGATAATATTGTTGATTTGAGACCATTTTCAAGTAATATAATAGCAATAATGGCAGAATAATGCAGGAACACATTATCAAAGATCAATAAACTTTAAATTCTAATGAGCATTTAAACTCTTGAACTGGAAGACATTTGAAATATTCAAAATAAAGAAAACAACAGAAACAACAAATAAAATGAATTATGAAGTCTGTGTAAACAAAATTATCTTTCAAAAAATGGTATAGTTGAGACCAAAGCACCAGACTGAAGACATTTATCATTCAGTCTTTGGTAAGAAGAGAGAGAAAAGAAACAGTAAATCAATCAAATGAAAATTGAGTTTATTTTAATTCATCATGCAATTAATTGATTTATTGTTTATTGTGACAGACCTACATGTTATCCAAGGTGTTGAAAGCATAACTGCCTGATGGTTGAACTTATACTTCTTTGTGGTGCCTAAAATTGTCTGGAAACTTTTGTGAAGGACGTGTAAGTCCAATGTTTTTCCTTTTCTTGTCCTGGTTGTGTTAATTTTTGGAGGCATCTCTCAAAGCTGTGTGTTTGAAATGTGCCTCCAGTTTAAATGACGGCAAATGTATGTGGACTTTTGAAATTAGGAAAAATGACAAAAATCTCCAGAATTTTTTCGATTAAAGGAAAATAAAATGTCTTAATGTGTAACTAACTGCCATGTAGAAGCATAGCCCCGCCCCCAGACAGATGTAGAAAAATTCCACAAAAGTAGGAGGGGCCAAGAAACTTGGGGGCGTGGCTAAATGTGAGGACGAACGCAGAAGCTAAGCAGGGCTGTGCTGCATATTTGATGACTTTAGAGCAGGGGTGGGCAATCCTGGTCCTGGAGGGCCGGTGTCCTGCAACTCTTAGACGTCTCCCTGGTCCAACACACTTGAATCCAACAGCTGAATCTCCTCTGCAGNGCAGTCAGGTTCTCCAGAGTCCTGCTAACAGCCTCATTATTTGACTCAGGTGTGTTGAAGTAGAGACTCATCTAAAAGTTGCAGAAGACCGGCCCTTGAGGCCTGGACTTGCCCACCCCTGGTTTAGACCCTCTGTCGACATTTTTCTGTATTATTGGAGACTTGGATCTGACTCGCCACCAGGGGGTGAATATCTGCGTGAGATGGGTTTTATACCCATTGATATAGAGACTTCAACAAAGCCGTACTGTTGTAACCAGTAGGAAAATTAAACTGCAGTAGCCACTGTTTGACTCAGAAAGGGCAGCACTGAGATGGCTTTGGACAAAATGTTGCAGAAATACCATTTGTATACAAAAATATCACATTTCCAACAGAGGCATAAAGATAGAACCAAATTTAGTCAATCTGCAAAAAAAAGTTGATTTGGGGTTTAGTTACTGAGTTTCTGTCACATTGTGCAGGTATAGATGTAGGAAATAAAGTCCTGTTTAGATTATGAGTTGATTCACAATGTTCTGGTGCATCAAATTGTTGACCTGATGCCATCATTGACGCAGCGTTGGTATTTCTTTTCCTCATGTTGATGGCTTAACATCTTTCTGTGAACTAAAACCCGATGCTCTGAGTGCAAACAGAGCGTTTGCATAGCGTTGCATGAAGTTTAATCGTATTATTATTGGATCATCGACCTAACATTTGAGTAGTTGTCAAGCTGCAGTGGCACACATTTGCAGCTTTAGCGCTGCCACCACAGCGTTGTCCAGTGATCAAACTGTGTGCTACGGTGCTGAAAGGTGATGCTGGAGGGTGAGATGCTTTGGGCCGTGTGTCAAAATGAAAGGAAAATACAGAATAGTCAACATATTGGATTTGTTCAAAGCATGATGCAAAAAATTGTGGACGCTAAAAAAACCTTTTGTGTGGAACGTCCCTTTTTAGCCTGATGATATAAAAAAATCACTGCATGGGATTTCATGAAGAGTGCCTTGGAAAACATTTAATATTGGATAAATGTAATTTGATACAAACTTCAAATCATGTTAGCTCAAATCTAACCTGCAGTAGGATTAGTGAAAAAGTCCTAATGCACACGTCTGTCTGCAGTTTCATATTTATGGACATCGCTATGCAAACACACACATGAAAACACACACTGCCTCCTTTGTAGTGTTTGCTCAACCGCAGCAGATTTTTGTTTGAGTTAGCAGATGCAAAGTCTGCTGCGACCCGAAGGAGGATCAGACCATCAGGGTGTTTTTAAAAATATTACAGCCTTAAAAAGCAGCGCAGCTTTATTCCAACCGTCACAGTCCATCCGACGGCTGGATAAAAGAACAAATTTAGATTTTTTTTTCCTGCTCCTGCTGATACCTGAAGGGCGAAATCAGTTACTTCCTTGCAGAAAATGGAAAAATACGCAGCTGGAGATGAAACTGTTAAGAGATGCAGTAATATAGCGACAGACTCTACATCTGGTTTCTCTGGGTCAAAACAACGCAAAACTGGAAACACGCACCAAAGAACACAGGAATTATTCCAGCTATGAAACAGACATATGAAAACAAAACTCATAACGATTTAAACAGAAATGTGAGAACACAAAAGGTGATGCAGCAACGATGTGGTGTTTCTGTTATTTATTCAAGTTTACACATTTCATTTTTACACTTCGTCCAAAAAGGGAATTTAATATCAGTTTCTGAATTTCTGTGAAACTCCTTAAATAAATCAATTATTTTGAACGTCACAGTGAAACCAGTGGCAGTATCAGACAAAGCTGGAAATGTTTTCTCTATGATCCTTAAACTGGATTTCTCACCATGACTACATGATTACATCTTTTCAAACTTTTTAAAGAAATCCCGTACAGTCACTATTATGAAACAAATTATAGACATTACACTTTGTCAAATGCCATCATCAAATATATTGGTCAATAACCCACATTACTAAACAGAGGCAGGTTGACACAGGTGGTTTTAGTATGAATTTAGCCTTGTTTCGGCTGTTTTGCAGTTTTCTGGAAGTTTGTTCCAGATTTGTGGTGCATAGAAGCTGAATGCTGCTTTCCCTAACAGTATTTTAAAGTCTATTCTATACAGGAAGACCCGTTGCAGTAATCAAAGGATGAGCTTCTCTAGTCCACTAATCCTGGAAATGTTCTTCACGTGATAGAAGGCCGACTTTGTAACCGTCTTTATGTGTCTCTGAAGGCTCGGATCCACAGTTCAGTCTGATCTCTACTTTCCACCTGTAATAACTGAAGCTGTGCGCTGAATCTGGACTGTTGCTCTTTAGCTCCAAAGATAATAACTTCAGTTTTGTTTCTGCCAGCTGGTGACAATCTAAAGTTTTGTATCATTTGCGTAATTTTGATGGCAAATCTTATTTTGTTGTTATATAACCTGAACTAGCAGGATCATATAGATTTTAAATACGAGGGGTGCCAGGATTGAACCTTGAGGTATCCCATATGTGACTCCAATTCACCACATTGACAAAAGTTTTTTTTTAAGAAATCAGTTAATAAAAAAAAACTAAATCTCTATTTCACATAGTATAGTATAGTATAGCATAGCATAGCATGTACGTAGAAGCCTTTTCAGGTCCTGAAGCATCTACGCCACGCGTAATGTTTAGTTTGAAACCCCGTTACCTGCACTCACCAGCCATTTCCTTTAGTTATTTAATTTACCGTTTTCCTGACAGGATTCCTGGACTTTTCCTTCAGAACCGCCTTCAGCGTTTGTGGCATAAAGGTTGAAACATTTTGAGTCATATTGACATGAAAGGTTGGCCAAAGTCACGTCAAGCTAATGCCACAAATGTTTTGAGGGGTGAATTATTTTTGGATTTACATGTGGTGGTGATCATAATACTGATAATGATCAGGTAATTCACAGTTATCGTCAGGCTACCAGCTTAATGAATTCTAGCTTAGCTAGCTTAACCTCATATTTTTCCATTATTTGCACCCCTCAGGGTTTCCACATCTTGGTTTTGGTTTTGATTTTGTGGCGTCGTGACTCAGGATCATCCATCGGGAGGCAGCTGGATGATCCTGACCTTAATTACGACCTTGACATTTTTAAAGCTCAGAGGCATGGAGACACTGGCAGAGTGTCATGAAATCATGAAAGGTCGACCAGGCCCCCCACCTTTTTAAAATCAGACAAAATTGGTGTCAATTGTAACAATTATAGGCCACGCAGCCAACTGCAGCTACAAAAGCAGCATCAGAAGATGGTTCTTTTTGAAGGAGCCTGAGGTGTGAATGAATACACAAGCACTGTTTTAGTTTTGGTGTGAATGTATTAATGATTTGAAGAATAAAAAACAACAAACAGTTACAAGTACACATTGAGAGACAACTTGATTCCAAATAAATCAATTCAAAGATCAAAGTCCTTGTCCTTAGCTCGCCATCAGTTCAAAGAGGATCTGAAGATCTTATCCATCATGGGGGGGGGAAAAACCCCGACCTAAAAGGCCAAAAAACCCATTAAGTGTTTTAAACAATTATGTGCAAACAAATGCAATTATTAAATATCTAATAATTAAACTAAACATTTCAGTCAGGTTAAATTAACCATAATTTAGCCCGATAAATGATCTTAAAAGTAAAAGTTGAAAGAGCTGAAAGCC